AAAGACCATGCGGAGTGATTGCCTTAGGAAAAAAAAATGTTTTCTCACTTTCCGGTAGAAATAGCTGAAACATAAATTATATGGGAATGAGAAATATGTTAAGAATCCTGTTATTTCACTTTGATTCCCTTGGGCACCCATTATCATGCTAGAACTGAATATTTACATAAAATAAACACCATTAGCAGAAAAGAAGATGACAGAAAATTCTTTTCCCACTTAGGGCATTTCAACATCTGGGCTACCATGGGCCATTAAAGCACAATGAAACCGCCTGCCTGGCCTGCCATGTACCCTTTTATTTATTTATTTTTAAGGGAAAATGTCAGGAAATATCTGTATAGTTTAGACTCCCTTTGGCTGCTGAGCAACCTGTTTCCAGGAAAAGCAAAAGATTACTATGACTTTTATTCCCTTTGAAAAAAAAATGTCTTCTCTTCCTTTTTAACTTCGGTTAATTAAACATGCCAACTCATACGAAAAAAAGAGAAGGAAAGAAACCATGTTCACGGTGCATCTCATGTAAGAGTTCAGAGCAAAAATCAAAAGCTGTTTTGGGGAAAGAAGAAAAATACACAAGAAGGGCAAACAGGCAGTCTCTCAGGCTCCGCTTAAGGAAGGCAACACAGGACGGCTAATAAGTCGCAGAATTTAGGTCTGTACTGGCTGAGCTGAATATCATAGATGTCAGCCCATACGAATACAAAGACAGGCTGACATGGCCACAAAATGTAAGTGGAGAAAAAGTTTTAATATAGAAGAATTTGCATTAAAGGATGCTCATTTCAGTTAAGAAATCTCCCCAAAATGTTCAATTAATACTCACTGAGGATTCCCTGGTTTGAGGCAGTTCTTGGGAGCTATGCCTAGGGTAACAAAAGAGGTGAATTACTGAACATAAATGATATTTGGTCTTTGACAGTGTAAATATCCAAGGAAGACACCCAGAAAGCTTGGGTCTAATGTACAGCATGGATGGGTCCAACAAGACTATGGAGCCCCTGAAGGAAGGCTGGTGGGAGAGGAGTTCTGTATGGAAGAAAGTGGTCATATGAAGGATACATCCAAATACACTGGGCAAACACAGCTCTGAGTTAAAACTAACACTCAGGTTCTGAGTTTTTAATGGCACACAGGGCAGCAACTTATAAAGATAATTTCCGATCACATTTTATAAGACTTTCCTTTATAGCCAAGACATAAAGCCATCTCCATAAAGGAAGCTTTACAACAAAACTTTCCATCAAGTGTTCGACAGAAACAGAACCAACTGACAAGTCTCTGATATTCAAAGAACAACAAAAAAATAAAAATGGTAATACAATATTTATTCAGTGGAACGAAGCACATAAAACACAGGAGATAGCTCACTTCTGGACATGGTATTGGTGGCATTAGGCTTCCTGTCTTGAACACTCAGAGTCACACTCTCCCTCCAGCTATAATAAAATATTGCTATCCAGATAGAAAATCAACACATTGGCTTCCAAAGCACATGGACTCGGTAGTTTTCCTATCAGAATCCTACAGCTTTATGAAGCCACGTATTGACGGAATGGCAGTGTAAAAAGAAAATAAAACCAAAAGAAAAACAGACAAACAGCTGTTTTCCCTTACACTGAGGTATCGCTGCAAACATATAGTAGTGTAGGTTCTTACACAGTGAAAACTCTTTTTGTTCTCTACACTCTAAATGACACATGAATCATTTGTTCTGTTTTGGTTGCCATTTTCCAAACTTTATTACCAGAAAAATCATTCCCTATGTGCATGTTGCCCAAAATATCCTCCCTTCCAGGGAGAGAAGTTATATAGCTCAGACCCCATTTCTAATTTAACTGTTCATTTAATTTTCTTCAACACTTTAAAACATCAGCTGGATGCTTTGACTTGTCACAACTGGGCCATCAACTTGGTGGAGAACCCATAAGAATGGCAATACTAGACCTTCATACCACATATTTCACAAAGAAAGGCAAAATCAACTTTGCTAAGACAACACATAACAACTCTGGCCATCGTCTGCCATTAATGATGTCTGTGTTTTAATATTCAGTACTTTATCCTCGAGAGCAGAAACAGGAATTTCTCATTAAAGAACAATTATGCATATTTTGTGGCCAATAGCATGCCAAGTAAAAGATATTTCTGGTAAAATAAAGAGAAATAAGAAAAAAATGGGACACTTATTTGAGAAGAGCAAAGTGTGCATAAAAGTTGGACCCCAAGAAAGTTTTCTTGTGTGAAGAAAGAAAACAAATCCTATAACTTAAGTATGACAAGCTCCATACGCATTCCAATGAATTTTACTCTAATATTCACGCAGGTTCAACTATAAAATTTTTTCATGTGTCTTTATGAGATCCAGCAAACAAATTTCTAAGCAGTCAAACAAACAACCACAAAAAAAAAAAAAAACTCCAGCAACTCAGAAACTGACCAAAATACGTCATAGGTGTTTAAAATAATAGAAACTTAGAAAACTGCTCATTTAATAGTTGGGGACTATAAAGTTCAGAGATGTCTAGTGACTTATATGTAGTTATTGAGAAAAACCAGGACTGGACTTTGTTTCACACACAAACTACACTGTTCCCAATACAATTGAGCAGGTTATAGTCTAAGAGGCTGTTTGACCTGGTTAAATCATGGGGAAAAAAGCAGATGCCTATTATCGTCTTAATGAGGGGGAAAAAAAGAAGATTCAAAGCTGCCAATAAAGAAATCAATGATTCTCTGAAAAAAAGTTGTCCTCAACAGCCTAAGAAATATATGCCATATAATTGTTTATGTTATTTAAAATTGTTTATGTTTATATTATTTAAAAGGAAAACTTATCTGTTTTCCTTTTTCGTAGTGTGCACCACTTCAAATATTCTGCTTCATAAAAATCCATGTGGTCTCCAGTCAATGGTAGCTTTATTTGAGAATGGGATTTTTCTTAATTGACTTTATGTCTTCGGCAGTTTGCAGCGATCTTTAGCACACTGCTATAGGAATTATAGTCACTCAACTCAATTGCTTCTTAAAAGCATATAAATAAAAAGAAAAACTATGCACTCAAACTTCCGGAAGATATGGAAATGAGCATGACTCTTGGTTAACCAACTCTTTAAAGTGTGTTTATAAGATAAGCAGGGGGGAGACAGGGTACAAAGGAGAAACCAAAGCTTGAAATCAAACAGGGCAGACTAAACCAACATTAGTGCAAATCACAGAAATATGGACAGCATAACAAAACCTAATGTACGTGATTCTTGACCAGCTGGATCTCCTATTTTACGGGACCGGTGTGCATGGAAAGCTCGTGTTGGAACGCCGTGAGGTGGTACCTTTTATAGCACCGCGGGGCACCAACACAGTCTGACTATATAGCAGTAAGTGGTCTCCATAATGCCCACGGATAACATCCAACCCTCTGATCAATGTGATACGGGGACAAAGGTCTATCATTCAACCAAACCCCCGGCTTGACCTCTAGATCTGTCAATTACTGTTTTGAGTAATAGGACGTGGCAAGAAGAATTATACACCCCATCCCACCCCCAAAATCCCACCCTAAATGTGTATATGATGAAGGATCGCCCCTGGGGCTGTGTTATGTTATATAGGCACAGCTGACCTTAATAGAGAAATTATTGAAGGGGGTGGGGAGGAGGTCGCTAAGCTAATCACACGAGGCTTTAAAAGCAGAGAATTTTTTTCTGTGTGGTAGCAGAAGCAGAAGCCAGGGAGGCTCAGATCATAAGAAGGACTACACATGCCTTTGAGGGAGCCATTGTAAGCAGCAATCCTGGTGGCCTCTGGGAGTGGTGTATGACTTCCTGATAGCCAGCAAGAAAATAAGGACCTCACTCCTACAACCACAAAGAACTAAGTTCTGCCAACAAGCTGAATGAGTTTGGCATGGATTCTTTCCAGAGCCTCCGTATAATAGCCCAGCCTGGCAGAAACCTTAATTTCTACCTTGAGACCCTGAGTAGAATATCCAATTGAGCCTGTCTGACTTCTGATCTCCAAAACTGTGATATAGTTAACGGGTGTAATTTTAAGTCACTAAGTTCGTAAAGATTTGCTATAAAGCATAGAAAACTAATATATAAGGAAATTTATTTAACTTCCAGAGCTTCTGAAAAACATAAAAGACAAATCATTAATGGTTGTAATGAGAAGACACATCATGTGCCTGGTACAGTATTTAACATGCAGTAAGAATTCAAGACGCAATTACTGTGCCTTTAAATACTTCATTTTATGACACTTCAGAGATTTCTGACACATTTTCTAAGTCAACCTTTCTGAGATCCTCTGCAAACTTGTTTGGGTAATACTTCTGCCTTTGTTCCCCTATACACAGAACAGATTTACAGGTCTGTGAAATTAAAATGAACATTTTATACGAGATAGCACGATAAAACAATCCGATGATTCTACAAAGCACATGTGAAAAGCAGTCTTGTTCATTTGTATGTGCATCCTATACTTGCTACACTTCAAGTGATCATAAAGTAACCACAACAAAAAGGATGTGCATCCTAATCAGTAAGCAAAGGTCCCAAGAGCTCTAGGTTGTGGCTCTCTACTACAATAAAGAGCACCTGAAGAATTACCGGAAACCTGCACAAATCTAGTATCAACTTTAGTGAAACATTTTAAATTTTGGCACCCAAACAGAAAGATCAAGTGCTTTGTTAATGTTCAGTTTGCTGACTTGTTGAACTGCTCCAAATAATGTGCAGTTACCGAAGTACAAATGTGTGTTGAGAGAGAAGGACAGATAGTTAATTATGCTGGAATATTTGGAATGGAGTGAGAAACCAGAGTGTTTGTTCTGAGAGAGATAAACCACATAATAAAACTGAAAAGAGAGTGAATTCATGAGGCTATTTTCAGGATGACAGGATGTTTTGTATGTTAGGCAAATGGACAAAAGTTAGGGAAAGGCAGCAAATTACAGAATGTGAGTGGAAACACATTGTGAGAAGAAATAAACACATTACCTCTTATGTGTCATAAGAGGCAGTTCTTTGAACTGCCATCTAATAGTGGCGAGCTCTGAGGACAGTGGTACCAGGAGGTTATTATCCATCCAAAGAGTGCAAGGAAGCTGTAGAAAGCTGTTGGAAGCAAAGAAAGATCATCAACACAGGAAATATGGTGAGGAGGTAAGGCGAAGTTGAGGTATTTGATTTGGGTGACCATAATTCCCAGAGCAATGTGCTAAGGGAATTGCCAAAAAATACAAAGTCAATCAAATAAAATCATATCCTGGTTCACATAAAGCTACCCTTCAACGAGAGACCATGTGAATGTGAATAGTTGGGCTGAATGTATTTGTAATTGGATGAAAAATACGTAAAGAAGGAAATTTTATCAGTCTACCCCAAATTAATCCATTCAACAAATATCAATCGCCCACTGCAATGCTCTAAGTGCTGGCTATGAAGTGAAGATACGGCGGTGATCCAGGTCAATGTCATACCTGTCCTTGTTGAGCTCACTGCTCAGTGAGGAAGACAAACCCACAGCTATTACATAATAGTGGGAATTACTAGAGGACGACACTATGAAAACACTCAAGAGAGGTGTCTAGCCTGAAAAAAACTTTCTGAAGGAAGTAACATGGAAGCTGGGACCTCCAGGGCAAGCAGACATTCCTTAAGTGAAAAGAGGATGGGAGAGTTCCAAGTGGAGGGGGCCACATATCTAAAAGCTAGAAGATAAGAAACTTGAGTTGTGTTTTCAAGAAAATGAAGACATTCCCTAAAACTAAGGCTATACTCAACATATATACTTGTCTATAAACTGGAATACTTTTACTTTGTTATTACTGGTTTTGTGTGTTTTTAAATTGGGCATTGCCAAGCTAGAAGTGGTTAGGAGCCCTCCCTGATTTTATGTATGAAGTTTGCTCTTATGTATGAAATCTACTGTTCAATCTAGATCCTGTGAATATTTTTCAATGGAAAATTCTTGCTACTCCCAAATGTTTGAAAACCCTTGTTTTTAGTAAAATGGGCAAGTTTGTGTTTCCGTTTTGTCATACTTACCCACAAGATACTGTAGTATATAAATTATAAAGTCACTGAGACTATAAAACAACAAAGATATATGCAACAAAATATTTTGCTGTGAAGTCACTTAGAAAGTAAGGAAACTCTAACCAATTGAAATGACATTGAAACTACTAGATTAGAACAACAAACACAAAACTAAAATCACTCCCCATCCCTATTCTATGCTCTTTAAGCCTTGGTTATACCCTGAGAGAGAGAGAGAGAGAAAAAAAAAAAAACTGAATTAAAATATATTTATATTTTTGTCATCAAGGAATAAAAGTGACAGCCATTAAGAATTTACTTCCTATTGCTAAACCACTCTAGATAGTATAATGATCAACTAACAAGACTTTAAAACTCTCAAGCTAGTAGATTTCCTCATAGATACAAACAGATCCTTCATTCAACACATTCGTTACAAGTAGCTACAATTTTTCTTTAATTATAAACAATTACAATGAGCTGTACAGAACTTAAACCATATCTTACCTCATATTATTATGTGCTAGTAATGATTACTGAAGTACAGAAAAAAATATACAACTGTTAGCCCTTGTATATAGAAAAATAGTTACATTTTATCAGATGTGAAATGAAAAGCCACCCTGTTATGAAGATGGCCACAACAATCCTTGTCATCCCTGGGCCCTTATACAATGTCACTTTACCACTCCTCCCATCGAGAGGTGGAGTCTATTTCTCCTCCCACTAATCTGGACTGGCCCTGTCCCTAGAACTTGCTATGACTGAGAGGATGTGACAGAAACAATGAGCAATCTCCAAGGCTAGGTTCTAGGAGGCCTTGCCACTGTGTTTTCTCCATCTTGGAATGCTTCCGCTGCCATGAAAGAAAATCCAGGGAAACCTCTAATGAAGAAACTACGTGGAGAGAAAAACTCAGAGCAGAGCCAGTCCCAAGTTCCCAGACATGTGAATGAGGAGACCTTGGATAAGACCAGACAAGACCAGCAGAAAAGTTGACCAGCCAACAGACAGGATCATGAGAAATAATAAAGTGTGGTGGCTTTAAGGCACTAAGTTTGGATGTTTTGTCATATAGCAACAGATAACTGGGTCACTATATATAAATTTTTCAATCACAAGATTTAGAAAATAGGAGTTTGTAATTCCTTTTCAATATATCCCTCAGACTCTGACATGAAATCATCTAACCTTCCATAGCACTCTGAAGTACTTTTCACAAACTCCTTTTTCCCTAACATAACCTATGAGCTAGTTATTCTTACTATCCAGATTTAAAGAGGAGGAAACAAAGGCTGATTAGTTTACCCAGTTAGTAAGTGTGTCCACAAAACTGAGTCTCCCCATTAGTCTGTGACTTTCTTCAGGTAGGGCTTATCTAATGCACCTTTGTATCTCAAGCACATGCATGGTGACCAAAATAAAGAAGGGTATTTTTCAAAGGTCGGATGGATGAATGCATGGATAGATAGATGGGATGAATGGATGAATGAATCAATTGGTGCCTCCTCTGCTATTTTAAATATTTAAGAAAAATGATATACATGTAGCCCACCCCCACACCCAGCCCCTCCAAGGTCTTACTTTTCCATGCTCGTTGTTGGCTATTTTTTCACTTGAATTAGTACCTAGATATTTTATATTCTTGGTTGTCCTCTCCTAAGTCAAATTCTATTTCTCAATGTTTCTCTTAAAATTGAGAAATTGAAACTGAATGTAATATTAAGTCTATCTAAAACTATTCCTTCTAATCTCAACTCTGCATTTTAATATTCTTTGTGGATTTCAAAAGCTTATCTGAAATAAAACATCACCCTAAATAAAACAAAATAATTTCTAGGTTTTAATAGGAAAAGATTGAATCTCTTTAGAAATCTGTGGTAAAATGCAAAATGCCTTGGCTAAATTTACAATCAATAAAAGTCAGTTAGGAAAATGTACTCACTCTGTAGTAATCTACTTGAATCGAGGGACTAAATGGACTCATTAATTTTGGCTAACTTAAGAGGCTTCTTTAAATTGTGCCATTGATTCTGGTTAATTTGGATAGAATTAAAGAACTCAAATTGTTTTATTAAATTCTTTCTATACGCTTACTTTGGTCAAAAAAAATTCTCCCTAGACTATACCCTCTCCTGACAACTCTCCATTTCTCTCCAATTCAACACTGGCCAGAGCCCCTCTGTGACCCCAGTCAGCCACATCTCTATGTCCTCCTGGATCCTTGCTGCTATTTCCAACAACTTAATCTGAGCTTGTGTGTCCTTAAGGCTGAACTGTCTTAACTACAATCTTTCTCTCACTCTTTGATTCTACTCTTTGTATTCTGTATGGGTTCATTTATAACAACAACATTACTGTCACCCAAATTTTATCAAGTCTTCCTACTGCTTACTATTGTATGTCTAAATACTATGGCACTTTCAATAAATAAATACATACATACATACATACTATGACACCTTCAAAGTCCTACTTACTCAGGCACGTGCATTTCCAAATTTTCCATTTAGTTGCCAATAGCAAGTTTCTTATTTCCCTCCAGTTAGTCAATCACTTTACCACATTCTACTTATGTTCCATGCCTTCAAATATCTAAAAGAAGGATAATTTTTTACTATGATTAATAATATTAAAAGAATAATTGCTAACAAATAATCAAGTACTACTTATCAGTTACTGTTCCAAGCTATGCATATATTTTTAATTAACTTTTTTATTATGGCAACTTTATAAGGAAGGTAATGCTATTATCATCATTGTAAAGATGAGAAATCTGAGGAACGGAGAAATTACATAATTTGCCCAAAGTTACACAGCTAATACGTGGCAGCAGGTATTAGGCAGCCTGGCTTGCATCCATGTTTTTACCACCATACTACGCTCTTCTCAATTAAACCAGTGTTTACTCCTGTTTGGAAGATCCCTACCACATAGCTTTCCAGAGGCTCCTACCTTGAAAATGTAACTTGGTCTAGACAGAGCTTCTTCCACAGTAGAGAGTAAAAATACGATCTGTGTATAAACACTAGACAACAGGTTACCCTTGGGATCAGAAAGATGTGATGCAAGTAGATGTTTCAGCGAGGAGGGTAAGAAGGCTAAGAGAAACAGGTAGAAGAAGACATGTGTGCAGTCAATTCTCCCTCCAGGGGTTGATATCTTTGGGAAAGTGAGTGGCGAGTACACTTGGGGGAAGGTTTGGTCCTGCCTCTCTGCTTTGAAATTCCTAATGGATACCAATGTGACGGGTAGCCCCATTCTAGAGGCAGTGAAATGTGATAGAAAAACAAAGGTGAGGATTAGGTAGGCAGAGAAAAAGACTGAGAACACAACAAAGCCTCCTCTCTGGAAGGAAGTCAGAAATTTCTGCCTAAACCCACAAGAGAACACAGAAGATGACTGAGAAAGAGCCAGCAGTGTGCACGGGAAAGGCAGTGGGGAGGTGGCATAAAGGAAGCTGACCCCAGTGGAACAGAGATGGCTTAAAAGCATGGCCCAGGAGGGTAGACTGAGGCTCAGAGGATCTGCAGCATCTTTCCAAAGGAATTCCATTTTAAAGAAAATCTCTCTCAGCAAGGATATGCATATACCTTCCAGCATATGTGGCACTAAGTATTATCTCTATCACAGAATCAATCATTCAATGAATATTAATAAAATTAAAGTGGTTTAACCACAATTGTAAAATACATATTGAGAAAAGATAATCATACATCATGTATACTTTTTTAATGCACAAATCCATTTCTGTAAAGTGAGCTTTACTGGTAACAGTGAGGTAGACAAAGCCTAATGTCCCAAAAAGAAATGTTAACCTCAGATTAGCTTTTTCCGTAGAATATCTAAATAACCTATTGCATCAGAAAATTAAAATTTAGATAGAGAGTTAAGTAAGCTTACTTAAGTAGATGATGGAAGTGAGGTTCATGCTTACGTACATACATGACTAACCCTCGGTATATATGTATACATGGTTAACCCTCAGGGTGCTTTGACAACTTCCTAAATATTATGTGCATACAATACCAAGACAAAAATAAAGACCTTTCCCAATATCACCCACTATAAGAGAACTAGAAGAAAAAAAAAATGTTTGAAAAATTAGTATTTGATTCAACACTACCCTTCCTCCTGATAACTGAATAAACAGAGCCCTGAAAAGTAGAAGACAAACTTGTTTCTTAATACTGCTGACTGGACAAAGCAAGGACACATTTTTTTTTTTTAAGGTGAGAGCATACTGAGAGTGGAAAAAAAGGATAAGAATTAAACCACAGATGCTCAAACACAGGGTGGACGGATGTGTGCTCTTACTAAGATGGGCCATGCAATCTAAGATTCCAGTCAGACTCGCTTTGCCCGAATTCTTTCATCTTAAGTTATCCCATAGAAAGATCATACCATCATCTCAACAGATGGCATCGCTTACTGAGTGCCAACTATATTCCAAGGGCAATGCCAAACACATTACAGGCTTCAGTTCATGTGCCATTTATAGAATGCCTATGAGGTAGCTATGATTGCTATCTGCATTTCATAAATGATGAAACTGAGAGCAGAGTGTAAGCAGCTAGCTGTGGTTGTGATGCAATGCTGCTAAGTGGTAGAGCCGGGCTTCAAACTGCAGTCAGTCCAGGGCGCCTGGGTGGTTCAGATGGTTAAGCGTCTGCCTCCAGCTCAGGTCATGATCCCAGGGTCCTGGGATCGAGTCCCGCATCGGGCTCCCTGCTCAGCGGGGAGCCTGCTTCTCCCTCTGACCCTTGCCCCTCTCATGCTGTTTCTCTCTCGCTCTCTAAAAAATAAATAAAATCTTTAAAAAAAAAAAATTGCAGTCAGTCCAATCTCTTCAACACTGCACCAGTCTTGACATAAAAATACCTTTGGCAAAATTCACGACACATTTTTAAAAAAATAATAATAAATTCTTAATAATAGGAATAGAATAATAATTTCTTAATACAATCAAATCTTCCTTAAACTAATTCCAACTTCAAACCTACTAGCAAATCACTCTAAGTATCCCCATGGTATTCAAGAATAAGAATGGATACTCTGGTGGCTATTCTTTGGCATCTGGAAGAAATTCCTGGAATTTCTTCTTTTTTTTTTTTTTTTTAAGATTTTATTTAGTTACCTGAGAGAGAGCAAGAGAGGGAGAGAAAGCACAGAGGGAGAGGGAGAAGCAGACTCCTTGCTGAACAAGGAGCCAGATGCAGAACGCGATCCCAGGACACTGGGATCATGACCTAAGCTGAAGGCAGACGCTTAACCAACTGAGCCACCCAGGCGCCCCTGGAATTTCTGATTAATAAAAACAAGGCGTAAAAATATACAATTATAACTATTCAAAAACATAAAACCAGGGGCGCCTGGGTGGCTCAGTTGGTTGGGTGACTGCCTTCGGCTCAGGTCATGATCCTGGAGTCCCTGGATCAAGTCCCGCATCGGGCTCCCTGCTCAGGCAGGGAGTCTGCTTCTCCCTCTGACCCTCCCCCCTCTCATGTACTCGCTCTCTCTCTCATTCTCGCTCTCTCAAATGAATAAATAAATCTTTAAAAAAAAAAGAAATATTTAAAAAAAAAACATAAAACCATTACTTGTAGATTCTACAATTTTTTTGATTTTATAATTATTTAACTAACAAAGTTAAGCAAATTACCTGAGACATCATATGAACTAAAATAGCAAGTTCTATGAGATAGTTTGTAACAAAATAAATGAAAAATAAAAATTAAATAACCACTTATTTTCATGTTCATCATTCTGTATCTTAGCAATATGTAGAGGAAATTATCTAATTCACATTACTGACAAAATTATACAATACTTAGGAATGAATATGATAAGGAATATACTAGAACGATATAAAAAATCAGTAACACTAGATTGAAAAGCAAAAAGGACAATAAAATGATTTGAGAAGCATATTTTATCCCTAAATGGTAACACTGTATATTACAGAGGTATAATTTTTTTCCAAATTACTTCATAAAAAATGAAATTGGAAGTATCAGGAAGTGAAATTGACACTATGATTTTTAAGTTCACGTGAAAAAGTCCACTGGTGAAAATAAGTTTGAAATAGAAAGGTAATTTAAAAAAACAAAACCAGTCTTAGTAGATGTCAAAATTTACCACAAAATGAAAATAAGTGACTGACGTATTGATAGATGTCTCTATGAAAGAATCTTTTTTTTTTTCTATGAAAGAATCTTGAATCAGCAGGTAAGAGAATGGTTACTATTTAACAAAGATTCTGTGAAGCTATTGGTTAGCTGTTGAGAAAAATTATATTCTCCTCTCACTTCATATGACAAATTCCAGCTTTTAAAAAAAGACATCTAGAAAAAAGTATGTAAGTTAGCATCTAATTTCTGGATGGGCTTAAGGCAATTTTAAAAAAATTCAACAAAATAAGATTGATAGATTTAATGTATAATGAATAAAATAATAGGATAAACAGACTAAAATGTGGAACTAAAAATTTTAAATGTTCCTTATATATTAAAAGATTATAAAATTTGGTAAGAAAAAACATCTCTAAATATGAGAAACTCGAACAGATAAGTACAAAGAGTGAAAATACAGACAACAAATGAACACTTTAAGGAATTCAGTGTCTACAGTAATCAAGAATGCAAGATAAAATGAGATAAAATTTCTCACTTAACAAATTTGCAAAAAATTATATTTTATTGTATTTTTTCTGTAAAGGTAATATATTAACATGGTTGAGAAACAAAACAATATGAAAAGGTATTCATTTAGAAATCACACCCTGATTCTTTTCCCTGTCCACCCTGTATTCCCTCCACCCTCTTCTCTTTATTTAAATAACCATTTTTATTAGCTCCTGTGAATCCTTGACAGTTTTCTGAGAAATGCAAGCAAATTGAGAATATACACTTACATTCCCACATTCCATAAATAAAATTTAAAAAACGCTAGCATTTTGCAGGAGGTTGAATTTTTATGAATGAAAAGACTGTTTGCATTTTTTGTTATGCAAACTACCTATTCATAATCTTTGGCCATTGTTCTACTGCTTTTTACTTTTCCCCAACCCCATGATTTCTAAAATATATTAGAAAACTCTTGGTGTGGCGCCTGGGTGGCTCAGATAGTTAATAGTCTGCCTTCGGCTCAGGTCATGATCTCGGGGTCCTGGGATCAAACCCTCATGTCTGGCTCCCAGCTCAGCAAGGAGTCTGCTTCTCCCTCTGTGATTCCCTCTGTTTGTGCTCTGTCTCTCTCTTTCAAATTAAATAAACAAAATCTTAAAAAGAAAAGAAAAGAAAAGAAAACTCTTGGTGATTTCAGAGGTAAATACTTTTTCCCAGTTTATCATTCTTCTTTAGAATTTCTCCAGAGTAGCCGCTTTTTTGTTTTGTTGCCAAACCAAAGGATTTAATGAGTCAGATTTGTCTTTTTTTTCCTCTCTCTCTTTTAGACGTTAGAACTGAATCATAGTTAGAAATCTTTTCAGTTACATTCTTTTGGGTTTTCTAAGTATTAAGTCATCTACAATAACAGTTTCTCTTGTCTGGTTTTGTTGACTAACAACTCTGGTAAAGCATCACTAGTAGGTGTGA